TCTCAGGGAAAGACTTAGGTACAAACTGAAACTTTGTGTTGGCTTTGCATCTCCACAAAATCTGTCAGAAGCAAAGAGTGAAATGCCTGCAAATGTTTATATGTGAAGTTTTAAACCATGACATTAAAGGACTCGTGATGAAAACAAGTTTTTATGCCATTTCCCATTTCTTTGTAATTTTCTGTCTGCGTTCTGAAATCAAAAGACCCATGAGGTTCCTAAATTCCTGAATGGAATGTTATCACCTGGAAAAACTAGGTTCAGGCAGAGTATCAGTGCTCATTTATGTGTATGTGTGATTTTATATATGTATACCACCTTATATATATGACCTTATACTAGCCTCTAGGGAGATGGAGGCAGATCAGTTCAGGGTCACAATGGCTACAAAGAAAGCTCCAGGACAACCCCGGCTAAATGAAATACTGTCTCAAATTTAATGTGTCCAAACAGATTCAAAGAAAATTGCCACAAGAGTAGCTAAGCAAATTTACACACACACAAACCAAAACCATGATAAAACTTACTAAAAATAGTTACAAAAGAATAGTAGAAGACAGGTTTTGTAACACTTGCCTATGATCTTGAAGGCAGATCAGGAATTCAAGGTTGAAGTCCTGTAAGGAATACTTAAGAGGGTCTTTTAAAGGGGGGGGCATAAGCAATTGCCTCTATTCCTTTCTGGGTATGAGAAAATTTTGGAAATGTGAAAGTCTACTGCAGATAAAATTTAATAAGTACAAAATAAAGATGAATCCTAAAGTACAGAAAAGTGACTTAAATTGCATTGTGGGAAGCCCAGAATACTCAAGTTGAAAAGACACCAGGCAACTCTAAATATGGTGGTCAAGCTGGGGCAGTCTCAAGACTACCTATTTATGAAACAAGCCTCTACACGCTTCCTCTTGTGTAACCAAGGAACAGCTCTTCCCTAAAACTGGTAATAAGACTTCAGGGAGTAAATAAAAAGAAGCTGGCTTGTAGAGTAAGCCCATAAACAAAGTGGTTATACTACTGAAAACGGCAATTAAGTTTAAGTGTACATACTGAGAGTTGAACCTTTAAGTTTTCTTTTCCTACTTTACTCCAGAAAGGTGACAGTCTGGCCAATATCCTTAAATAAGAGGATATACAAACTTTGATTTTATGGATGGAAGAAAAAAAATCTAACACCAATATCAATGATTTCTCAGTGCAGCAGCCCAGCCTGATCACAGTACACTGAAAAGCACAAGCACAGATAGACTCCCTTTCTACGCCCAGAAGTATAAAAGATGTCAGCCAAGAATTGGGGAACGTCTTTAATTGGAAAGGCAGCAAAACAATGGGACAGTCAGACAACAAAAAGTCTTAAAACTTTAGAAACAGAAAGCAGAAAGGAAAAAAAATAAAATACTTGAAAACATGGTTGGAGATAGAAATTAGCTCACTGACCGAGTGCTTAGTAGCATGCACAGGGCCCTGGGTTTGGCCCAATGCAACACACCAACACACACACACACACACACACACACACACACACACACGGAAAAAGGGAGGAGAGAGAAAATACAGCTTAGGAAATCTCCCAGGAGATGAAAGATAAAAGAACAACTGAAAATTTTAGGAAATTGACTCAGGAAGCCCCACATTCAAGTAATGTTACCAGGGGATTTGAGTCAACAGTTAAGACCCTGACAGCTCTTCCAATTCCCAGCACCCACACAGCCGCTCATAAATGTCTGTAACTCCAGTTCCAGAAATCTGATGCCTTCTTCTGGACTCTGTGGGCACCAGGCATGCACATAATACACACACATATGCAAGTAAAACACCAAATCACATAAAATAAAAGTAAATATTTAAAGTGTCATACTATGTTGCCTGACATTTAAATTTTTTTTTAATTAACCCTATCAGAAAAATAGCTGGAAGAATCTACATGTTAAGAGTGTTTTTTTTTTTCAAAAAACAGAAAAAACTTGACTATGCACACATGAAAATCCACAGTACCAAGACAGTGGATACCCACAATAAAGATGCAACAAAGGGGTCTGGGGCAAAGAGTAGAGAAATATTCATCAGAATAACTGCATTTTTCAACATTAGGAAAATAGAAAACAATAGGCTAGTGCCTTTACAATGCAAAATACTAACAGTCTGGAATTCTATACACAGCTATGCATTCAGTATGGTATAGAATAACTCCAGAAATTTATTTGCCCTATATATTTTCGTAAGATACTTAGAAATGGCAAATCAATGAAAAAGGCAAAAGATTAACAAATATCACAGTGAAATAATACAACTCAACAAAGTTGGAGAGTTAACCAATTCAAACTGAAAAATAAAAGACATTCTTAAAAAGTAAACAATGTAATCAGGTGTGGTGGCATATACCTATAATCCCAGCACTTGGCAAGTAGAGGCAGGAGAAGCAGGAATTCAAAGCCAGCCCTAGCTGCAAAAGACCCTGTCTCAAAAGAGGAAATGTTGCTTAACAAATATATTTGACACATTAAGAGAAAACAGGCACAAATGAAAGAGAATTGGCTAGGGAGGTGAGGGGGTAGGAGAGATTTATAACAAGCACTAAAAAAAAGTAAAGTACTTCCTAAAACAAGTTATAGAGAAAAAATAGTAACTAGCTGGCTATAGTGGCCCACATCTGTAATCTCAACACCTGAGAGGCACAATCAAGTGATCAAAGCTAGCATCTATATCTTGAGTTCAAAGCCAGCCTAAGCTACAGGCAACTGTCAAAAAGTAACACTATATAATACATCTTAACTACTAATAGCCAGAAGGTAAAAGGTAATTGCAACTATAACAGATGATAGTAAAAACAGTGTCACAAAATATAAGGCAGTGGTTCTTAAACTTCTTATTTCGAGACCCTTTAAAAATACTGTTCTTGCTGGAGAGATGGCTCAGTGGTTAAGAGCACCGCCTGCTCTTCCAAAAGGTCCTGAGTTCAATTCCCACAACCACATGGCGGCTCACAACCATCTGTAATGAGATCTGGTGCCCTCTTCTGGCCTACAGGTAGAGTACTGAGAATACTATATACATAATAAAAATACTGTTCTTCAGTCAGGTGGTGGTGGTGCATGCCTTTAATCCCAGCACTCAGGAGGCAGAGGCAGGCAGATCTCTCTGAGTTTGAGGCCAGCCTGGTCCACAGAGCCAGTTCCAAAACTGGCTCCATAGCTACTGCAAAATTCTCTCTCAAAAATAATAATAATAATTAATAATAATAAATAAAAATAAAATATACAGTTCTTCATGTTTTGGTGATTTCCCAACCATAAAGTTATTTTTGTTGTTACTTCTAACTGTAATTTTGCTACTGTTATGAATAGTAATGCATATATTTTTGGAGATAGAGGTTTGCCAATGGGTCAAGACCCACAAGTTAAGAACCACTGACATAGGGATGGTAAAAAGTTACTAACTCCTATTCCTACACCCAAAATCAATGCTACATCAAACCACAACACCAAAACATAACAGAGCAAGTTACTAATGATCAGGCAGGAGGTTAACAATTGGAGGTTCAGCATAAGCTGGGCCTGGAGTTTCGGGGGAGTCAATGGGTGTGTGGGATGGTATATGTGTCAAATTGTATTGTTTTTTAGATGGATATTTTTTACACTAAGTGGGCTATAACTAAAAATAAAAGCAATCTTTTAAAAAATTTGCGTAAACTAGAAAATATCAAAATCCCAAGAGCAAAATGATATGAAAAAGGGTTATTCCATTTTTACTATAGAGAAAGCTTACTAATAACCTGTAATATAATTATATTGATAAATCTCAGATTAACCTTTCCCACAAGGCAGTAACTATGTATATAAATCAAGTAATATATTTACATATAAGAAACCAAATCTTCTGTTAAATCTAAATTTCAACCACAGTTAAAGTACATGGTACATAAACTGGCTCGAGGTCATTCGGTACAAGTACACCTAGGCATATGTGCACTGAGTACCAATGTGACTTGATTATCTAAAAGTCATATAATTCCTCCTGTTTTCTTAAATAGTACAACTAATTTTTTAAGACAGTTTCTATACATCAGTGATTATGTCCTACGTCGTAAAATACATGATGAAATGTTCTATTATACTGAACATAAAGCTGTTATCCTGGCAAAAAATAACTATGAGACCTCTATGCTTTGAAGTAAAAAATGCTTTTTAAAGTCTCTTTTCTTACAGTCAGACTAGCAATGATCTCTAGGTGCCTGCTAGTAGCAACACTTCCCACATACTAATTAGAAACTTAGCAAGGGCTTCAAAACCAGGTAATCAAGCCTGAAGTGGTGTATGAACACAGCAGACTTGCACTAAGAACAGAAGAAGCTCATGGTGGAGAACACCAAGAGATTTAGGGGAGTCTCCAGGAAATGAGGAAATAGTCATTTACTATGTTTTAGATTGAGTGAAGTACTGAAAACTTTCTGATTCCAGTAACATCTACTGACCATCAACCTCTGTACGTGATAGAGTTGAAGGAGCGTCTTCCTCTCAGAGCAATATGTTTCACTGAATCTTAAAAACTACTGGATTAGTCACATTTGGGTCGCATTTTTACTTAGAAAAACCCTCACTAGTTTAAAGAACCCTGGTGAGATCGGACATACTTAGCAACTCTCTGTCCTTACAAAGCCAAAGGTCTTCTAAAAAAATAGACATCGAGAACACAAACCTAACAGCAAGAGCGCTGTCTTCCCTGCTCAGAAACAGCTCTCCGCTGGTCCCAGGAGCATTTACTCAGTTGATAAAAATTTATTAAGCACCCGTTATACGCAAAGCACTGTATCTGGGTGCTACAAATCAAAAAGTGTGACAAAGTTTTTATATTTGTAGAACCAGAGCTAGTCCTTAGGAGAGAGAAAAAGCAGTGTTCCTATTTGGTTTGTCTGGGGACCTAGAGCATGGATATGATCTTCCATCCACTCACTTCTGTGATCCTCAAATCAGCCGATTTAAGTCAAAACAAATAAGGCACATTAAAAAAAAAAAAATACCCCCTTTTAATTGACCAAAGTAAAGCCATGACATTTCATTTGGTAACCTGTTCAGAATTATAAAAATCATTTGATTTGGCCCAACCCATACTGTCCAGGGCAAAACTTCCAGACAATTCTAATCCCATCTGGTTCTGTTCTTAGAAACTGCTTATAAAAAAAAAAATCTTCGGCGTCCTCAATACGACGCGCTCAGTGCGAAGCGTACCAGGGTACAATGTGGCATTTATGTCCTTGACAAACCTCGATTATCCAGGTCCTTTACCTGCAACATAATAACATGAGTTTAGTATGTGCCCAAAGTTCAACATTAGAGACCTCCTAGTAGTCCAGATCAGAAAGGACTGCACTAGACTCTGCTGCCTGCTGGACGATGTGAATAAGTAAGCATGGATCAGAGGCTACCTACCGTCAACTTAGCCTGTAAGAAGCAAAATAGACTAACTTTGGCAGTGACCAAAATTCCTCAATCATTCTTTTTGTTCCCACTGTTACAGAGTTTTGCTATGTAGCCTAGGCTGGTCTCAAACTCAATTCCGCTGCACGTTTCCCTAGTGCTGGGAAATAGGCATTGCTGTGGGACAATGGTTTTACCCTATAAAGAAAGATTTGTTTTTTTACTTGTTTAATAAAACACTGATTGGCCAGTAGCCAGGCAGGAAGTAGAGGCAGAGCAATGAGAATTCTGGGAAGCAGGAAGTTTCAGTTTGTAGTCATCACCCAGACAGAGAGAAAGTCAGACACAGAGCAAGCAAGATGTGACTGCCTCGTCGAAAAAGGTATCAAGCCACGTTGCTAACACAGATAAGAATTATGGGCTAATATAAGTTATAAGAGTTAACAAGAAGCCTAAGATACTAGGCCAATCAGTTTATAGATAATGTAGACCTCTGTGTGATTTCTTTGGGACTTAACAACTGCGGGAACTGGGCAGGACAGAAACCTGAGTCAACAAGGCATATATGCTATATCTGGCTCAACCTTTTCTCATGTAAAAGATATAACACATTCCTATGTGACATCACGTGATGTTGTGTCAGAAATTCATCAAAAAATAAAAAATAAAAAACGTATCTCAAAACACAAATACATGCATTCCTCCCAACCCCCAAGCTATTTCAAACCCTACCTAGAACAATACTGCTGAATCGAGTACAGTGGTGACATCTATAATACTACCATTCCAGAGACTGAGGAAACGGGGTCTGTTTAAATCCAACCTGGGGTAAATAGTAATATTAACGCCAGTCTGGTTGGCACCCTGAAACCCTAGTCCCAAAAACCATAAAGAAAGAAGAAAGAAAAAAGTATTGGTCTGGGAAAATGATCCAGTGGGCAAAAACATTTGCCATCAATCCTGGAAACTAGATGTTGACCTCCAGGATCCCTACAATAAAAGAACTAAGCCCTGCAAGCTGTCCTTATATGTAGCATACATATAAAACTGTAGTAAAAAGTTTTTTAAAGAAAAAGAAATGTGGGCATAACAACTGACAGCTGGGATGTCTCCTCTCTAAGAATAATCAAAATATAATTAGCAACATTTTGGCCAGGCCAGATGGCTTAGCAGGTGAAATTGCATATGAGACTGATGCCCTGAATTCTATCTTGGGAATTACAAAAAGGCAGAGAGAGAATCCACAAAGTTGTGTCTATACAATAAAACATATGCAACATTTAAAAAAATTAACACTTCAAGTAAATGACAAGCTACTTTGAAACCATGTGCCATTAAAAATATTCCTATTTGAAAACTGTATACTAGAATGAGGACAGTTTTCCGAGATGGGCAGCATCTACTCACCTTGTATATCCTGACCAGCCAATGTTCTGTGGTATATGCTTCCTCCAGGACATCAAGCTCAAAGTCTTTATTACCAATCTCAGCATTTCGAACACGGTCAAAACCTGGTGGACGCTCTAAAAGCAACAAGAGAGAAAACTTCTTTCTATTCTGCAAATTAATTTCCTAAGGAGTTAATTTCTGCAAATTAATTTTCTATTGCACTGGTTGCTATTCCTCAGTCTGCACTTTGACTAGAGTCTCCAAGAAAAAGCATTAGATAGAAATTGCAAATCAAGGTTGGGCAGTGGTAGCACATGTTTTTAATTCTAGCACCGGGGAGGCAGAGACAGGCATATCTCGGTGAGTTCAAAGACAGCCTGGTCTGCAAGAGTTAATTCCAGGACAGACTGCAAAGCTACAGAGA